CAGTTCACTGCCTAGAAAGCCTGGTCCAAACAAAAAGTTTTCAGTTCAGGAAGAGGACCTGTCTCAAAGCAGTAAGAAGACTGGTAGAGAAAAAACACCAAAGTCTACCTCTGTATATTCATGTGGATATAACACCCCCATCAAATACACCAGTCATCAATCAATCAATCATAACATATTAAGAATCGCTAACATGCATGTATTTGACCAATATTTTGTAAACTTGAAGTCAATTAAACAGTATTTATTTCACTTGATAAAAACTGCCTTTGGCAAACCTGATTACTGACTCATTCTGATAATTTTATTCACTCAGAAAGTAAGACTATAATTTTCTTTCCTGTGTAAGTGAGACACATCATGAGTCTTAAATATGTATACATTCTAAGAATAGAATTATATAGCAGCAGGCATTGCTTTATTATATTATTATTAAGCATATTTAATTTTAAATGTTGATTAATGTTTTAATCTTGCCCTTTATATAAAAAGGGTATCTTATGTAATCATTTTCTCCTAGCCCCTACTCATACCTTTTTGGTTTTGGTTTTTTGAGACACAGTTTCTCTCCTGAAGCGTTAGCTGTCCTGGACCTTGCTCTGTAGACCAGGCTGGCCTCCAATTCAGAGATCCACCTGCCTCTGTCTACTGAGTGCTGGGATGAAAGGCGCGCGCCACCACTGGCCAGCTACCTGTGTCTCTTAACTAGCAATATCAAATGCTATTTCCTAAACTCAAGCAGAATATATCAACAGAAACTCAAGTCTCTGGTAACCAATGTATCCCTAGGAATGAGAAACGTAGACGGGACATCCCATGGACCTTTTAGAGCTTTTGGAAATCTCAAAACACATCAGAAATGTGAAATGTGCACAGCTCTAAATAAACTTAAGAGCCAACAAAAACAGAGAACACTACAAAAATTCCAAGCTAGGAAGTCACATTTTTGGGTTTTAAAATATCACTTTTGAAGGGAATGTGCATACAGGACAAACATTTCTGAAATATAACACTTTTCTGTTTAAAACTGAATTCCTGAGCAGGTTCTACAATGCACACAGCTTTACTGATTTCTTTCCAAACTGAAATACAATTTTTCTGTATACATCTTACTTGAAAGATGTCAAACTTCTCAAGAATAGTTACTCTGACACACAAATTTTTAAATGTTGCTTGTATCAAAAATCTATTTGGATGCTTTGAAAGAAGAGTCCATAAAGAAGTGCCTCAGAGGTTACATGGAAGAGAACACACAAAACAATTTTAAATGAAAATTGCTCCCAGCCAGTGATTTTTTTTTTTCCATCTCCATATACAAAAGAGGAAGATAGATCCAAAGAGTTCACCAGCAATAAAGCCCTATTTCCTCTCATTTGGTAGGTGTGTTGCTCCGTTTTGTGATGTGGGAATTACATAAGAACATTCTCTTGTGTGAGGAGGAAATGCCTATTATGGGAACTGACAAGGCTGTTACTAAAACTGAGGCCTGACCTACTTATTTGCTAGAGTTCCATGAATTTTATGGTTCCTTCTTTCAAATAAACTGCTGGCTAAGGTAACGTTGGCAAATGTCTATCTATCACATACGCACAGATTTCTCCATTTCCCCCCAGTAGTGAGTTGCTTACAGTACGCTCTGTGAGCGTTAGTTTCCTATTTACTATGTGCCTACTGCCCCCTGGATAGAGCCGTGCCTGTAAAATTATTCATTGAGAGCACACTCATAACCAACCTCAATTCGTCTCACAGGTTAAACCTGCTAATAAATATGAACTTTAAAATACACTGTATTTTGAAGAAGCAAGTCTTTTGAATGTACTAACTTGTAATGTTTCTTTCTCTAAAAAAAAAAAAAAAAAAAAAAAAAAGCATCATTTTCTTGATAAAGAGGAAATGAATCAAATTAGATAAAATAGAAGTCTCCGTCATCTCAGGTAAACCTAATTTTCAGGTTTCTTTTTTATTTTAAATTTTTATTATTAGTTACATTTTATTAACTCTGTATCCGAGCTGTATCTCACTCCCTCATTCCCTCCCAATCCTACACTCCCTCCCTCATCTCTCCCTGCCCATTTCCAAGTCCACTGATTGGGAAGGACCTCCTCCCCTTTCACCTGATCCTGTTTTATCAGGTATCTTCAGGACTGGCTGCAAAGTCCTCCTCTGTGGCCTAGCAGGACTGCTCCTCCCTTGGGGGGTGGGGAGGTCAAAGAGCCTGCCAAGGAGTTCCTGTCAGAAATAGTCCCTGTTCCCCTTACTATGGGAAACTGAGCTACCACGGGCTACATCCGAGCAGAGGTTCTAGGTTATATGCATACATGGTCCTTGGTGGAGTGTCAGTCTAAGAAAAGACCCTGTGCCCGGATATATTTGGTCCTTGTGGAGCTCCTATCCTTTCCTCATCAGACTAACTCCCCTTCTTTCATATTATTCCCTGCACTCTGCCCAAGGTTTAGTTATGAGTCTTAGTATCTGCTTTGATACACTGCTAGGTAGAGACCCTCTGTGGTAGGCTCCTGTCCTGCAGGACCGGAGAGCAGAGAGCCCGGATACCTCAGATTTCTTAAAATCCCAATTGTCGCAAAAGAACTGGTAAGCGCATTTCAAGTAAATTCACAAGAAACTAAGAAGCACTAATTTAATACTTTCATATCTATCTTGAAATTTAAGTATAAACTCTAGTTTTCTCTAGAATAATCCTGGAGAAAACACTAAGAAACTAACATAAAATAAAAGAATAGGGGGAAGAAGGGTGGGATCAGGAGGGGAGGAGGGAGGGGCTTATGGGGGGGTACAAAATGAATAAAGTGTAATTAATAATAATAAAAAATATTAAAAAAAGAAAAGAATAAGAAAGCAGTCTTAAGTTATATACTTTACAACATGGTACAATGAATACATTGTGTCACATGATTTATAGTAATAAATCACTTCTGTTTATCATTTTTAAGACCCTGAGCTTCATTTTCCTTGACCAAGGCTTAGACGTGAAAAATCTGTCTTAATTCTCTGTATTTATCAACCTGACTGTAATTTCCATTAAAGGATGAAGCTGTAGTAAATGTTTTTACATAAATGAAAAATATTAATATCACACCCTAAACCATACCAGTAAAGGTTTATACTGCATATTTCACGAAAAAAAAGAAACAAACATTTTAAACACTATCATTGTGAACTTTAGTTTTATCAAATTATAGCCTTATTGTCTTGACATTTGTCCCTTGAATTCAAGGATACACAGGAAATAAAATGACTGTGTGTGTCCATGAAAACCATAGAAAATCAGGACAGATTGCTGTGTTTCTTTATTTTGCCATTACTAAGGGAAACTCCAGGACAAAAGTCTCACAAAAGGTAATAATTAGCATGCTTGGAGGAAAAAAGGATTCAAGAATCATTAAGTTGAATATTATTTAAATACTCTTGGGGGCTTTAAATTCTTCAGCAAACACAAAAGAATGAAAACAGTGGATTGGGAGGGAACGAGGGAGAGGCCACAGCTGGGATACAAATTGAATAAACTGTAATCAATGATAATAAAAAAATATATTAACATAAAAATAATGAAAACCATAGTAGATAATACTCTGAAAGTCTATACAACCATCCTGTAACTAATACTGTACAGAGGTTATTTTATACATATTAATAAAAATAGTTTTATTTAAATGAATAATTTTTGAGAACTGAGAGCACAATCTATGTTGCTTGAATAAAAACCACACATACACACAGAGACACACACACACAATGCAAAACTATAAATATGAAGAACTATCATTTGTAAACGAAGCTAACATTTCAAGATAGAAAGAATAAGAACAGGGGCAGAACACATGTAACTTTACATGCATCATCAGGGGTTGGAAAATGGAAGCTACATGTTACATTAAGATGTCCTGGACATTACAGTACAGGAAAGAGAACGGAGCAAGAATAGGTGAGGACAGCCTTACCACTAATGCTACAGGACAATTATAGCTAATAGCTAGAGTTTCTTTTTGTTTTACCATAAATATGGGTACGCTCTCCCTCTCCACCTGGTTCACCAGTATAAATTACATTTTAAAACACTGCATTATAAAAAGAGCAAAATACTTAGTGTTCACAGCAAAACACAACTCACCTAAGATACAGACTTAACAGGGAAGATGCAGTAAAATTACCCTGGTCATACAAATATAACTGAATTTGTAGAAGGTTTAAACTTGAATGATAAGTATGTGGTTTCTGGCTCAGAAAATCAGAATCCAGGGAAAACCAAGATATGGCTAATGAATTTGAAATCACTCAAAATCTGCGGTTTGTTTGCTGAGATAGGATCTCTTTATAGAGCCCAGCCTGGCCTTGAACTCATGATCCTCCTGTCTCTGCCTCTGGAGTGCTGGGATTAAAAGTATTTGTCACCATGTCCGCCTTAATACTCAGAAAGTTTTCAGTGGACGTGTGAGAGGAGAAGTAGAAATCACAGTATGTTTGCAATAAACTGACACCCAAGTTCGTGCTTCCTCTGTCTAGAACAGTGTTCCCAAAGGTGTTCAGAATGACAATGACATACAGGAAACTGGAATGGAGCCAATGCAAATGTTGTGGGCTAATCTAGCTGTTGTGGAGATGATGAATTTTATGATAGTTTTTTTGAATGGTGATTAATTAAAACTTCATTTGGACAGACTTAGAAACTAAAAACTTTTCCTATGCGTATTTAGATAGTACTGCATTAAGGCCTAATTTTAAAATCTGCAAATGGGTTTCTGTTAAACTGAAAGACCTCAGAGTTTCAGCAGTGTGCTTTAAAATGTCTCTTGTGAAAATGGATAGCTAGTCCCTATAACGTCTTAGGAATACGATGGCCCAACGTGCCATCCGTTCTGCTGAATAAGCAGAGCTAAAGCTAACTGGACTGTCTAGAATGTCAGTTCTGACACCAAATTAAAACTAATGTGAAAAATCGTCTTAAAAAGTCATAGAAGCATTACCGACAGGTTAGCACTTACGGCTGTCGTAGCAGATGTTTCCCAAGGCCCTGCCCGTCTGCAGCAGCACTTCCTGGTCTTTGCTGTGTAACAGCTGTACCAGTGGTGAAACCAATCCGGCATCGACACATGGCATTCGCATAAATTCTGAAAGGAGGAGACATTCAATTAGAACGTGAAAGATACACATTTTACATACATCATCTTCCCCTAGTGAAATAAACAGGCAGTATTAAGATGTTTACAGGGCTTACTATTTAAAGAGCACATTTCTTTTCCAAGGCACCTGCCTCAGCCCTATTAAATACCCGATGAAATAAATAAATGCATGAAAACAAGAAGGATCACATTATCCTCTGTCATTCGTCTCTTCTATAAGCCAATTGTATTTTTAATTAACTGTCACTACACCTAAGCTGCCACTCTCTCCTGAGAATGACTGACGTGCTTTAGAAACAGTTTCGTGATGGCGGCGGTGCTTTCAACGACTGTGATAATTAGAGGATAAGCTGTAAACTAAACTATCAAATGCTCCAATTTATCAATATATGGTCTCGAAAAGCTCACAGTTGAAAAATATTTTTTAAATGATCCTATGAAGTACTTTTCTTTTCCAACTGTGAAGGCCTAGAAGAATCCCGAGTTCCTCATCTTTATTCCTATTCTTTATGAACACCCACGGTTTGGACTCATGCCTGCTGTTGCCATGTGCATGCAATCCTAGGTCTAACCAAATACTACGCTTTCCTGCCATTCAAATTTGTTTTTCCCTCATCTTTAAGTTTACCATTCTCTGCTTATCGACCCTTGGTGATACCATCACAGAAATGATTAAAAATAAACTTCACCCTTGTAGTGCCTCACCTCAAAACTGTAAAAGGTAAAAAAGAAAGGTAGTTGATGAAAACTCTCCACAAGCCAGTGTTAAAATTATCCTTTTAGACTTCACACTTACTATAGGCATGCTCTAGTGAATAAACAAAGAGCTACTTCTTCAGGGCAAAATCTATCTTACTAAACATACTAACTTTTCACTCCCACTTTCAAGAGGGTCCATGTCTTCATCTATTTTTATTTCATGTAGTCTGTGTGTAGCCTTATAAGCAATCTTTCTCATTTCTTTAATAATAATAATAAAAAAAAAAAAAAAAAAAAAAGCCAGGCACTCCTATAATACCAGTACTCTGGAAGGCAGAGGCAAGTAGATATCTGAGTTCAAGGTCAGCCTGATCTACAAAGTGAGTCCAGGACAGCCAAGGCTACACAGAGAAACCCTCCCTGAAAAAGCAAAATGAATCAGCAAATAAAATAAATAAATAAATAAACAAATAAATAAATAAATAAGTGAAACAAATAAGTATCTCAAAGTGCCGCATGTAAGGTATTAGGTGAGCGGTAACTCCTAAACAATGTTTCCCTTTGGACAGGTGTGAGTGACAGAGATAAGCGCTCTGCCTACAGGATTTCTTTCCTACAGTATTTCTTATCATTTTTTTTTGTATTACTGAAACCCTACTGCAATTGACACTCCCATGATTAAAATTACTTCCTACTCCTAAAGCTAACCCCTGAGTTTTATTAATGTAGACCATCCTACAATGTGCTGAGAAAAGGAGTTATGTTATGCACACGCAGAAGCTAAAAAGACACCAGCATCAATCTACTTGCGGGCTTCCTAGCATGTTAGTGCGTATTTCAGAAATGTCTACAGACTTCAACTGTTAAATAATTAAAATGACTCATTTCTTTTTCACCAAGCTACATTTATCTTACAATAGTTGAGATAATTTTATTTATTGCTGTTTTAAATAGGAAATTCAGAAACAGTATAATTTGGATTTTTATTTAAAAAATGGTACCTTTTTTTTAAAAAAAATTACTGTTTTGTTAACTGCCTTCAAAGAATGCAAAAAAGAAAATCAAGAAATTATGGCTTTTATTTGTTCTAATATTTTAATTGTTTATCTGACACCAATTTCTCAAAACCTGGACTTTACAATCAGTATCTGTAAAATGATGGAAAATAAATACAGAAAATTTGTAACAGTGTTCTGGTCATTTTTATTAGGAAGCAAATGGCTAGAACAAAGCTCCTACAGATGCCAATTTGTGGTTAATATAAAGGCAACTTGGCAGCCTCTGGAGAAGTAAACTCCTAAAAATCCTGTTTGAATGAAGATGGGTAACATTCCTTAGCTAATTTAAAATAACCAACCCATCTCTCCTTACCTTCCTCCCTCTCCCCGTGTGTGTGCGTGTGCAAGCACACATGTACGACTCCAGAACTTATCGAGGATGTCTAAAACATCGTGTGTATTATACTGGAGAAGCTTCAGAATGGCTCTGATGGTCATCTGCATTCACAGGGGTTCCTAGCATACACACAGGAATCTGCACCCAGCCATGCCAGCGGGATTCTAAAACACACCCAGCCTGGACAGTAACGAGTCTACTTGGAAAGATCAGCTAAACGGAGCAATGGTAATGAAATAAAGGAAAGGTCAGGCTCTCTTGTCAAGCTGAACTCCAGAAAATGGAAACCATGAAGTACAGATGGGGAGGACAGAAAGAACGGCATGGCTGAGCACAGGCTGGTGGAAGCCTCAGAGAGCAGAAGCCACTACACACGTGTACATGTGTCTGCATGTCCATAAACACAGATTCTACTTTATCCTAATTTTTGCATTAGGTATGAACTTCCATTCAGAGGCACTGTTTTAGCCCTATGTTAATAAAATTTAAAAACAAAGTGGCTTCTCAGCTCTTTGTACCTTTGGTTTAGTAAAATATTCATAATTTCTTATTTTCACTTTTTCTTTGTCAAACTTGCTTCAACTACATATTCATTCAGTGTTATCATAAAGTATAGGCTACGATGAAAACCACAAAATAATTCTCTTTGTATACACAGATTCATAAATTGTACATACATACTGATCAAATAAGAAGCAAGAACTAACCCAAAGCTCGCAAGCCAAATACAGGGAGTCTAGGTACGTCTGCTACATCAACAGAGTTCAAATTTTTAATAACCTTCCTTTATCAACTGCTAGCTTTATACAATTTTCTCTTGACCTGCAAAGGAAACAGCAAGGCATGGCTACAGGAAAAATGACCTCACGGTGAGCTGACAAGCTTCTGCTTTTGACAGAGGCTTTCTTTATTGTTCTTATCTCTAGAGGTAATACTGACAGCTGTTCTTGCATGGTCATGGTGAGGTTCCAACACCTGAAGTGTCAAGTAAAGGTTAGCTACTAGACAACATGGTACACCCCCACCCCGACGTTTCAAGGTGCTGCTTCTAGTGAAAACATATTACACATTAAAATACCTACCTGATATGGAATGAAGGACAGAGTTAAAATACATTAAATGACTGAATAAAAAACTCTAGTGTTTCTGTAGGGCCTTTGCTGGGTCCCTCTGATTCTTAGTGCTCTGTGCATGCTGGTAGAAAGTCTGATATAGGAAGAAAAAGCATAATGTTGCCTCATGCTGCTGACTTTCTGTTGCTTTGGACCAAGACGGGTTAACCTTATACTCATTTAAATTGCCTAGAGGACTTGTTAAAACAAACTACAAGAACTTAGAACAACGTATATAACACAACACAGTGTAAGCACATAATAGTGGCTAATGTTGGGAATTACTAGTACTATTATGAATACCTTTTAGTACTAGTTTTTATTATTATTTATTGCATGTATGTACACGTTTGTATGTGTGGAACAGCGTGTTCACAAGACTGTATGCACATCTGTGCAGAGGCCTAGCTGACACTGGGATCTTCCACTGATCTCTAGTTTATTTTCTGACACTGAGTCTCTCATAGAACCTGGACTTCGTTGAGTCTGGCTAGTCTAGCTAACCAGCTTGCTCTGGGAATCGCATCTCTGCCTCTGGAGTACTGGGACTGCAGGCAGGCAGCATATTAGCCCAGTTTTCACGTGGGTTCTAGGAAGCTGAGCTTCACACTTATGCATCATGTACTTTACCTGGTGAGCAATCAACCCAGGTACAAGTCCAATTTTAATGGAAAGATACACTCATAGATATCTCTGTCTTGCTTACTTCTCTATTGCCTCAAACCAGATTTAAGTCTGTCACATATTGGAATAATTTATGTAAAGGTCTAAATGTCTATTACTATAATTATAACTATACTGTCATATCATGCTTGACTGTCTCACTGAATTTTGAACATAGTCAGGCATGTCAAAATTCATGTTTTTATATGCGAATAAAATATAAGCACATTCTATGTTCAATCTGAACTTAGGAGTTATAAACTAGTATTTCTTCCTTGTAGCTACATAATGTGCACAGCAAAGAAAAATCACCTCTAATGATTATTTTTTTCTAGTTGTCAAGTTTCTAATGAATATGCTGTTGTGTCATGTTGCATTTCTAAAGAAATGTTTAAAAAAATTCAGTAAGAATCTTCTCTACTTTCTCAGCCACTTATTTTTTTTTTTTTTAAAGAAATGAGGTTAACTAAGCAATAAACATCCAAATATATCCATCCCATTTACTTTCACTGGTAAGGTAATAGGCCCTGTACTTGCCTGATTCAAAGTGCAAATGCTAACAAGCACTCTACTCTGAGTTTAGACCCTCCAGACTAAACCTCCGCTAGCAGAACTGTCCAACTGTCCTCAGCACACGGAATGCATGCTACAATAAAAAAGAGGGCTTGTAGGAAAAGTAAATCTTGTCTTCTGAATCCCCAAAATCCATACTCTGACTCTGATGAGTTACAAATATACCACTTATCTTAAAACCCAAGCTGCTTTCTATAAAAAGAGGTTAGTTTAAGTTAACAAATAATTGGAAGGCTCCATTTTTCAGCCCAGGTCAGTAATCTTAGATAATGGCAAATAAATCATAGAAAGCCAGTTTTCAGTGAACATGAAATATGATTTACCAATATAGAAGCTCACTGACACTTGAAGGGCATTTTGATGAGCTTTAGGATAGGAAAGTGTTTTGTGCCAGTTTCATTTTTGGTAATTTACATAAACACACATTACCTTATCAGCCCAAACAACAGTTCTTGGCAAAATAAATTATTAATGGTAATTACTCAAATGAAATGGGAAAATTTTTAAATTTCTCTGTGAAAAGTACTGACCTATGAAACATATTAGAATAAAAGAGATGATAACAAATTCTGTCCTACTAAGACACACTGTTATTATAATTACTGGAGTGTCCCCTTAAGCTTAAAAGCTGCTTTGCAGAGTCAATGTTTCCTAAAACTGATCAAATTAAAACCATGTAAAAATATTACTGGTTAATTCTTCCAAGGAATTTGTCACTAGATAGAAATAACACACAATGGGATGAATTAAGTTCTATTTAATTTATGAAACCACTGTTTTTGCAAGGTGAAGAGGTTAAATTTCAGTAAAGAATTTGAGACAGGGTTGTTTTCTATGGACGCAAGAGTGGAAAAGAGAACACACACCCCAACTGCACTGTTGCTATAAATGTCAATTCAAAACAGGGAACACTGAAGGGGGAAAACGCCAGGTGAGGCAACACACCAACAAACCAACACACAGAGGGAAACGCAAGAGATGGACAACTGATGAGCTAAATGAAAAAAAATGATAAAAGAACAACAGAGATGAATAAGAAGTTTCCCTTAATTGTACTATGAATAAGTGGAAATATATAAAGAAAATTACTGTTAACTGGAGTCATCTAAAACAGAAACATAAAATCAAAGAAAAATGAAGTAGAAAAAGTCTAATCTATGAAATCAAAACATAAATTAATAAAACCTACTGACAAGTAAGGTGTAAAACTGAAGATGTTCCGAGGAGAAAACTCTTGATGAGAACCTCACCATTTTTGGCTACTTCTGCTATGATGTTGGCTACTTTGGCTGTGCAGGAAGACTGTGGTGTCAGCAGATTTGCAAACAACTGAAGTATTCCACTTCCTTGTATTTTTTCACTTGTTTCTGTGTCTGAAAGAGAGAAAAGGCTTCCATTAATGCAAACACAAACTCGAACTACTAACAATAATAAATTATTCAAGAATTTCCCCGTCATAATAAAAGCTTGTTTCAATATACATTTAACCTCATATAAATTACCTTTTGCTATGTAGGCTGCCTTTATCCTGAGTTTTAATCTTCACAATATGCTACAGTATTTTTGGGTTGTCTCTGGTCATACTACAAAGGGAATTTTCTTACTCTGTCAACTATAGAGCAACTTAGTTTTAGTGTTAATTTCAATGGTATCAATCTGGAACAGGGATTTTTTTCTACATCCTTTGTGAATTTTTAGAGCTATAACAATATAATTTTATGGTCCCCTATAATAGTATAGTAACTTTAAAAGCGGTTATAATGGCTAACTTCGTACTTCATAAAATTTTTTATGTAATGAATGATAGCTAAGATTACATACTTCCATATAACCACATTTTAGTATAACTCATTAGAGTCACTACTACTACTGAGAGAGAGGAAATAAGCTCCATGATATTCAAAACTTTCTTTGTAATACAGAAATTCAAGAGTTCCTAACTGCTTTCCCTAAAGAGCCTTAAGACAAAAACAAGCTCCTTTATGTATCTACTATTGAAGAATAACATGTTAAATCACAAGGCAATAGGGTTTTCTAGATAATACAAATAAGGAATAGGCAAAAGAAATTACTATTTGATTATAGGCAATGAGGAGAAATATGTGTTTACTGAGATTATAGGACTCATTAAAATCTTCAATTAAAATTTGACTGTATAATACGCTTATATGTTGTAGATCTTTGAATATGTAAGTAACAGAGAACAGTAAGAATTAAGAATTTCTTCTTTCTTTCTTTCTTTCATTATTATTATTATTATTATTATTATTATTATTATTTTTGTTTTTTGTTTTTCGAGACAGCATTTTTCTGTGTAGCCTTGTCTGTCCTGGACTCACTCTGTAGACTAGGCTGGCCTTGAACTCACAGAGATCCACCTGCCTCTGCCTTTCCAGGTACTGGGATTATAGGCGTGCACCACTGAGCCTGGCTTACTAAGAACGTCTTAAAAGACAGGTGAAATGAATAGAGAAGCAGGAAAGTCGTTACTCAAGTAATTCAAGAATATGGACAAAAATGTATTTCTTTACCGTTAATGCTGAATGTTAGTGCTTCTTGTCTTTAAGACACTTTTGCATTTATTTATTTTTATATGTATGTATGTATGTATGTATGTGCACAGGTGTGCTCCTTCATTACAGTGTGTCTGTGGAGGTCAGAGGGGAACTTAAGCGAGTCAGTTCTCTTTCCCCCGTGAGTTCAAGGGATCAAGACTGGGCCATCAGGCTTGGTGGGAAGCACCTTCATCCACTGAATCACCTTGCCCGCCCCTAAATAGTGTTTTTCAAACTGTGCATTCCAATTTATTACTGAGCTCTTGAAAGAGAAATAGGAATTATCACCTACAACAACAAAAGAATTAAAAATGCACATATTAAGGTAAAACTTTATTCTTTATGTTTTGGGTTAAGTTGTGTTATACGTAAATGTGTTCACAACACACACACTCTTCCAACATGCCAGAAAGTGGTGAAGTCACTTTTGTCGTGTTGAAATGCTTTGTTTGCTGACCACTGCTGCAGAGGATCTACTGCTGAACACAGCAGCTCAGACTTCCCCAGTGGTCTAGACCACCATCTCCTTGTGAAGGGCTGACAGCGGGAACCTGGCATAAGACAGAATCCAGACTGGACCTGAGACTCGGGCGTGTGTGCACGAAGGCAAGCGTTAACTGCACATTATTCTTGTGTGGTTCATCTTAGATGTAAGTTAAAGATTATTTGAGTATCATATATGAATGTTAGGAACAAGAGAAAGACATACAACAAAACGGTGCAAGCATTTCACCGTGACACAGCTTCCCACAACCACGTACATGGATTTTTACACAGGTCTAGAATTTAAATACTCTAGAGTTATAAATTTCTTTTGCCATAAAAATATAACCAAACATGCTATGAAACTAAAATGTCAATGTCTAATAAATATGAAGTAGCTGCTCTCTTTTCAGACAGAGTCTCAATATGTAGCTCTGCTGACCTAAAATTCACTATGTAGACCAGGCTGGCTTTGAATTTAGAGAGATCCACCTGCCTCTGCCTCCAAAGTGCCATTACACCTAACCAAGCACAGTTTCAGTGAACCTCACTCTCTCCCTGTCTCAAAATGCACACTTACCTGTATGTTCAGGTATCTATGAACATCTTTAAAATGGTTTTAAAAGGCATTGAGAAATAGTTAAGACTGCATTCCCCTCAAGTGAACCTTTCCCAATGGGTATTAAATCTAAGAGCAGAGATGCAAGGAAGAGAGGGGCATGTATAAGCATAGGAAGGGAACACTACTCAAAGTACATTATACACTTGTACAAAAATCGCCACGTAGAGTGAATATACATACTACTGCAAAAAGTGTAAAGAAAGAATACAGCAAAAGCCCATTTATGTAACAATGCCATTAGAAACCGGTTTTACTAAATGACTAAGCTGTGAGACTCACCCTACAAAATTATAGCAGATGATTTTGATAGTCATGATTATTTCCATCCAGGGGACAACATAAGCTATGGCTGAAGCTGTGTTTGAAAAATCGTCACAAGAATAAGCAGGGGGACTCTGTAAAATTATCACTAACTAGGTCATACGGCAACTGCTACAAATGGAGAGTCGTAGAGTTCAACGATGAAAGGCGCTGACTCGGAAGTAAACCCCGAGAGGAACTGTACAACAGCTGTGGGAACACAGAGTACACAGCTGGACTGTTCATCTCTAAGGTGAAAGTCATTACTGAAGAAATGGTCCCAACAGGAAAAGTGAATTTCCTCACCCCAGTCTTAGAGGTTTTGGATACAACAGCAAAGGAGCATTTTCTGTCAGACACCCTGGAGGGAAACAGCAAGCAAACAAAGCTACAGAAATCTGCCATCTGCAGGACTCCTTACAGTCCCTAATTTAGTAACACTTATAGTGAGCCTAACAAGATTATATTCTGCTTCTCAAGAAAGTAATTACTTAACAAGGGATCCAAAAATGGGTAGTTAAAAAAAATACATAGAAGGAGGTAGTATCCCACATACTATTATAAGTCAATGGTGACATGATATATACTCCAGTTTACAGGAGAAATGAAAAAAAAAAAAATAAAGATATGCAGAGAACTTTTTTATAGTAAATCACTGGACATTGACATTACTATATTTTGGGGAAAGTTAAAAAAAAGAGAGAGCGAGATGAAGGTTCTTATTACCTTCAGGTGTTAACAAGAATGCTGTGTAAGGGGTGGTGGCTGGTTCCTAGGCCTTGGTGTGTTTTTAGAACAGGTCAGAGGCAAGCAGGGTTCGAAACGGGGCAGGTAATGTGGGAGGATTGCATAGAGGCGTGGGGACAGACACAAGGACACTGGTGGTTGGCCCAGTCTGAGAGCGGAGCTGGGAGGAAGGTCCCTGCCCATGGGTACCCCCGACCCCATCCACAACAGTCATTAAGGTGTGCAGCTCCTGGCACTCCGGAAGCTTGGGCCCTTGAGGGACCTGCTTGGTTTCGGTCCCACAGCCTAAGTATCGCAGGGTAAAGATCTTGTGGCTTCAGTCATTGGTGAAACCTCAGATGCCTCTGGTTTCCTATTCACTGTGGCACTGGCAGTTGCAGATTCTTGTAAGGCTGATACAGCTCAGCCAAGAATGAAGTACATGCAGATTTCCACAGAATTGATGATTCCGCAAAAGATTCTGAAGGCACAAGAAAGACTAGCAGTTTTAGAACGTGAAGAATTTCTATGGATTAAGGTTCATAGAGGTTTGTCACTAACCTGTGTTTCTGAACTTTGAACTGTGAATCTGTGAGCCAGTCATTTTTTTCAATAAATAAACAATTAAGGATTAGAAAAGCTGAATATTCACATGTAGAAGCATGAATATCTCTCACCCTGAACAAAAACCAACAAAACTGGATTGAAGAACTTAAAGTGAGGTCTACAACTGTTGGAGGAGTAAGAAGGGAAAACACTCCAACATGCTGGCCTAGGCGAGAACATTCTTAATAGGCCTCGGGTCCCTCTGAAAACAATGCCAACAGTCAATGATGGGACCTCAAGTTCAAAAGCTTCTGTACACAAAAGAAAATCCAATGAAATAACAGGCTCAAGAAGAAGAGAAAATCTTTTCTAGCTACACGTAAGACAGTTAATATCTAAAATATACAAAGAACTCACAAAACCAGCCAAGAAATGGAACAATCAAATCAATACATGGACCAAAACAAACAATAGTTCTCAAAAAATGAAATTAAAACACTCAATGAAGGGCTGGGGAGATTGCTCAGTAGACAAAACACTTGCTGCTGAGCACTGGGACTGGAGTTCAGGTCTCCAGAATCATCATACAAGCTGGGCAGGGATGGGACCCAGAAGTGGTTAAGCTCCGGGACAGTCGAGACCTGCCTTAATATAAAATGATGAGTAATCGAGCACTATAGCCAGTATCAGCCTCCAATGCATGCATAACATGCGTGTGCACACAGCCAAACACATGCAGACAAGCATGCGTACACATGTGTGCACACCACACACGGAAAAGAAAAAATAGAAACAATGAGTAAAAACATACTTAAAACTATTCAGTCTGACTAGCTACAAATACACATCAAAACTACACTAAGATTCTGTCTCTCTGTAAGAAAGGCATACATTATTTAAAACAACAACAACAACAATATGCTGGAATGGACGTGGACCAAAAGGAATACTTCCTATGCCGCTGGTGGGAAAGGCACTATGAATGTCAGTACAGATGTCTCTCAAAAGAAAATCTCAAACCAGACATATCGTTCGGTTCCCTGTAACCCCTGGGTATTAAATGGAATGACTGAAATCAATCCTCTCACAGATTACTTGCACAGTAACGCTTACCACAGCACCATTCACGGCAGCTAAGTTA